GGAATCCCCATAAGGTTAACAGCTGATTTTTCAGCAGAAATTCTGAAAGCCAGAAGGGACTGGAAGGACATATTGAAAGTGATGAAAGGGAAAAACATACAACCAAGATTACTCTACCCAACAAGGATCTCATTCAGATTTGACAGAGAAATTAAAACCTTTACAGACAACAAAAACCAAGAGAATTCAGCAACACCAAACCAGCTTTACAGCAAATGCTAAAGGAACTTCTCTAGGCAGAAATACAAGAGAAGGAAAAGACCTACAGTAATAAACATAAAACAATTAAGAAAATGGTAATACAAACATACATATTGATAATTACCTTAAATGTAAATGGACTAAATGCTCGAACCAAAACACATAGACTGGCTGAACGGGTACAAAAACAAGACGCATATATATGCTGTCTACAAGAGACCCACTTCAGACCTAGGCACACATACAGACTGAAAGTGAGGGGTTGGAAAAAGATATTCCATGCAAAAGGAAATCAAAAGAAAGCTGGATTTGCAGTTCTCATATCAGAAAAAAATAGACTTTAAAATAAAGACTGTTACAAGAGACAAAGAAGGACACTACATAATGACCAAGGGATCAATCCAAAAAGATATTACAATTGTAAATATTTATGCACCAAACATAGGAGCAGTTCAATACATAAGGCAAATGCTAACAGCCATAAAAGGGGAAATCAACAGTAACACAGTAATAGTAAGGGACTTTAACACCCCACGTTCACCAATGGACAGATCATCCAAAATGAAAATAAATAAGGAAACACAAACTTTAAATGACACATTAAACAAGATGGACTTAATTGATATTTATAGGACATTCCATCTGAAAACAATGGAATACACTTTCTTCTCAAGTGCTCATGGAACATTCTCCAGGGTAGATCACATCTTGGGTCACAAATCAAGCCTCAGTAAATTTAAGAAAATTGAAATCATATCAAGCATCTTTTCTGACCACAACGCTATGGTATTAGAAATAAAGTACAGGGAAAGAAATGTAAAAAGCACAAACACATGGAGGATAAACAATATGTTGCTAAATAACCAAGACATCACTGAAGAAATCAAAGAGGAAATAAAAAAACACCTAGAGGCAAATGACAATGAAAACACAATGATCCAAAATCTATGGGATGCAGCAAAAGCAGTTCTAAGAGGGAAGTTTATAGGAATACAATGCTACCTCAAGAAACAAGAAACATCTCAAATAAACAACCTAAACTTACACCTAAAGAAATTAGAGAAAGAACAAAAAAACCCCAGAGTTATCAGAAGGAAAGAAATCATAAAGATCAGATCAGAAATAAGTGAAAAAAAATGAAGGAAACAATAGCAAAGAGCAATAAAACTAAAAGCCGGTTCTTTGAGAAGACAAAAAAAATTGATGAACCATTAGCCAGACTCATCAGAAAAAAAAGGGAAAAGGCTCAAATCAATAGAATTAGAAATGAAAAGGAGAAGTAAGAACTGACACTGCAGAAATACAAAGGATCATGAGAGATTAGTACAAGCAACTCTGCCAATATAATGGACAACCTGGAAGAAATGGACAAATTGTTAGAAAAGCACAACCGTCTGAGACTGAACTAGGAAGAAATAGAAAATATCAACAGACCAATCACAAGCACTGAAATTGAAACTGATTAAAAATCTTCCAACAAACAAAAGCCCAGGACCAGATGGCTTCACAGGCAAATTCTATCAAACATTTAGAGAAGAGCTAATACCTATCCTTCTCAAACTCTTACATAATATAGCAAAGGGAGGAACACTCCCAAACTCATTCTATGAGGCCACAACCGCCTGATACAAAAACCAAAGATGTCACAAAAAAAGAAAAGTACAGGCCAATATCACTGATGTACATAGATGTAAACCTCCTCAACAAAATACTAGCAAACAGAATCTAACAGCACATTTAAAGGATCATACACCATGATCAAGTGGGATTTATCCCAGGAATGCAAGGATTCTTCAATGTATGCAAATCAATCAATGTGATAAACCGTATTAACAAATTGAAGGAGACAAACCATATGATCATCTTGATAGATGCAGAAAAAGCTTTGGAAAAAATTCAACACCCATTTATGAAAAAACCCCTCCAGAAAGTGGGCATAGAGAGAACTTATCTCAACATAATAAAGGCCATATATGACAAATCCACAGCCAACATTGTTCTCAATGTTGGTGAAAAACTGAAACCATTTCCACTAAGATCAGGAACAAGACAAGGTTGCCCTCTCTCACCACTATTATTCAACATAGTTTTGGAAGTTTTAGCCACAGCAACCATAGAAGAAAAAGAAATAAAACGAATCCAAATCAGAAAAGCAAAAGTAAAACTGTCACTGATTGCACATGACATGATACTATACATAGAGACTCCTAAAGATGCTACCAGATAACCAATAGAGCTAATCAATGAATTTGGTAAAGTAGCAGGATACAAAATTAATGCACAGAAATCTCTTGCATTCCTATACACTAATGATGAAAAATTTGAAAGAGAAATTAAGGAAACACTCCCATTTACCATTGCAACAAAAAGCATAAAATACCTAGGAATCAACCTACCTAAGGAGACAAAAGACCTGTATGCAGAAAACTATAAGACACTGATGAAAGAAGTTACAAATGACACAAACAGATGGAGAGGTATACCATGTTCTTGGATTGGAACAATCAACATTGTGAAAATGACTCTACTACCCAAAGCAATCTACAGATTCAATGCAATCCCTATCAAACTACCAATGGCATTTTTCATGGAACTAGAACACAAGATTTCACAATTTGTATGGAAACACAAAAGACCCCGAATAGCCAAAGCAATCTTGAGAAAGAAAAAGAGAGCTGGAGGAATCAGGCTCCCTGACTTCAGACTATACTACAAAGCTACAGTAATCAAGAGAGTATGGTACTGGAACAAAAATAGAAATATAGATCAATGGAGCAGGATAGAAAGCCCAGAGATAAACCCATGTATCTATGGTTACCTTATCTTTGATAAAGGAGGCAAGAATATACAATGGAGAAAAGACAGCCTCTTCAATAAGTGGTGCTGGGAAAACTGGACAGCCACATGTAAAAGAATGAAATTGGAAAACTCCCTAACACCATACACACAAAAAAACCCTCAAAATGGATTAAAGAACTGAATGTAAGGCCAGACAGTATAAAACTCTCAGAGGAAAACATAGGCAGAACACTCTATGACATAAATCACAGCAAGATCACAGCAAGATCCCTTTTGACCCACCTCCTAGAGAAAGGGAAATAAAAACAAAAATAAACAACTGGGACCTAATGAAGCTTAAAAGATTTTGCACAGCAAGGAAACCATAAACAAGACAAAAAGACAACCCTCAGAATGGGAGAAAATATTTGCAAATGAAGCAACTGACAAAGGATTAGTCTCCAAAATATAGAAGAAGCTCATGCAGCTCAATATCAAAATCAAGCAACCCAATCCAAAAATGGGTAAAAGACTAAACAGACATTTCTTCAGAGAGGATATACAGATTGCCCACAAAGACATGAAAGGATGCTCAACATCACTAATCATTAGAGAAATGCAAATCAAAAGTACAATTTGGTATTACCTCATACCAGTCAGAATGGCCATCATCAAAAAGTCTACAAACAATAAATGCTGGAGAGGGTGTAGAGGAAAGGGAACCCTCTTGCACTGTTGGTGGGAATGTAAATTGATACAGCCACTATGGAGGTTCCTTAAAAAATTTGAAAAGAACTACCATACATACGACCCAGCAATCCCACTACTGGGCATATATACCCTGAGAAAACCATAATTCAAAAATAGACATGTATCACAATGTTCACTGCAGCACTGTTTATAATAGCCAGGACATGGAAGCAAACTAAGTGTCCATCATAAGATGAATGGGTGAAGAAGATATGGCACATATATACAATATAATATTAGCCATAAAAAGAAATGAAATTGAGTTATTTGTAGTGAGGTGGATGGACCTAGAATCTGTCATACAGAGTGAAGTAAGTCAGAAAGAGAAAAACAAATACTGTATGCTAACACATATATATGGAATCTAAAAATTTTTTTTAAAAGTGGTTTTGAAGAACCTAGGGGTAGGACAGGAATAAAGACAAAGATGTAGAGAATGGACTTGAGGACACAGGAAGGAGGAAGGGTAACCTGGGACGACGTGAGAGAGTGGCATGGACATATATACACTACCAAAGGTAAAATAGATGGCTAGTGGGAAGCAGCCGCATAGCACAGGGAGATCAGCTCAGTGCTTTGTGACCACCTAGAGGGTTGGGATAGGGAGGGTGGGAGGGAGATGCAAGAGGGAGGGGATATGGGGATGTATGTATACCTATAGCTGATTCGCTTTGTTATACAGCAGAAACTAACACACCATTGTAAAGCAATTATACTCCAATAAAGATGTTTAAAAAAATCCAAAAAATAATAATAAAAAATAAAGGAGGGATACATTTCTCTTCAAAAATAATCTAGGGAGTAGGTGAGCAAAAAAAATGTGTGAAGAACACTGATCTAATCTAACAGGCCATTTTACAAATGATAATGTTGATACTCCGAGATGTTAGAATACTCTCACCTAATCCTGAAGCCAGACCTGTAAAGCAGTATTACCTGACATTTCTTTTTTACCTGGTGGTGTGAAGACCTATTGTGAATATACTTCAAAGAGAATACAGCTTTCATCTAGGGCTTTTTCACCTCGGATATCTGACCCCTGCCAAATTGCAGTGTGTATATTTATGTGCATTTTTCTGATGAACGCTTCTATAGTTTTATGGTCACTTTACAGGAGACATCAACATAAACAGAACTTAATAGTTAACTCATAAGTCTCTACCCAGGTAATTGCCTTCTTAATTTAAGTTCATTTCTCTGTTGAATCTCTTACCTGAGGCTCATGCTTTTCTGACCCTCTTGCATACTCTTGTCTCTTACCTCTTTCAAAGATGTGAAACAGTCTTCACGCAGAAAAACCTCTTTTATTAAATCTTACTTGTAGTAAGTCATCCGTGATCTCAACAGGGTGACCTAGTCTATGTTAACTACGCACGAACTGAAGACTTCTTTAAACTAGAGCGGGACATGAAAATTAATTGCTCTGGGAAGATTCTGATTGCCAGATATGGGAAAATTTTCAGAGGAAATAAGGTAAAAAAATAATTTTTTTTTCTTTTCCACAAAAATAAAAAGTTATATTGTATCTTACATGGGTAGAACCACATCCTTAAAACTTTTGGAGGACTGTGATCTTCTCATACTCTGTACCAGCCCATCTAATAGGGAAGATACATTTTCTAGCTTATATACAGGGGTTTTAAACTGGGTCATTTGAATTCGGCCAGGGTAGAAGTTCAGGGAAACAGAACAGGTTTTTTCCATACCTACACATTATGCCTGTGGTCTACAAAGAAGCATGCATTTGATTTGTTGTTAACCTTCAGTATCTTTGTTTTAAATGTTACCTTTGAAAATATTTACTAAATTAAATTTTAGTATTAATTCTTATTATAGGTAATGAGAGAAACCAATTTATACACAGCAGTTTTGAAAGTTACTATCACTTAATTTGGCTTGATTTGCTAATATTTTTTCCTCTTTTGTGGGAAGCTAAATTTCAGAAATAAAAGTAGACTGTGGAGTCTACTTGCTTATTGTGCTTCTAGACTAGAGGAAGGAAGTAGCACATACTCACTACCACTAATATGTACATTTTTAAAATCTGCTGGTCTGAGGGCTGATTCAGCCCTGGAAACTCATTTTTAGAGCTTGCAGTAGGAAAAAGAAAAAGCCAACTCTCTGTGAGATGTCCCTTGTTTTAAGTCTAAGGATAAAAGATTGAAGATAAGGTTTAGCTACTTATTTAAGCGTAATTTTGAGTTACCAACCTAAAATAAGAAAGGCTGTCTATTCCAGGTTAAAAATGCCCAGCTGGCTGGGGCCAAAGGGATCATTTTGTACTCAGATCCTGCTGATTACTTTGCTCCCGGGGTGGAGTCCTATCCAGGTGGTTGGAATCTTCCTGGAGGTGGTGTTCAGCGTGGAAATATCTTAAATCTTAATGGTGCAGGGGACCCTCTCACACCTGGCTACCCGGCAAATGGTGAGTGACCAGGCCTTAATCATCACAAAAACCTTAACATTGTAAAGTGATTTTACCAAAGGATTTCCTTTGACACATGGATAAAGTATGTCTTTTTCTCGTTCTCTTTGTATCTAAGAATAAAGGAATTTGAACTCAGAAAATTGTTGGTTCGGGTCCCTTATCCCTTATTTGGAATCCTTGGGTCTGATAGGTTTTGAAATGCAGACATTTTCAGATATTTAAAAGTAATATGGTGCATATACCATTTCTGGCATAACATTCACATAGGAGGCTGGAGCATAAAATGGGAAGCAAGCATGTAAATATTTTTGCAGTAAAATGTATGAATAATCATATTAAGCAGAGGAATGTAAATAATATAAATAGTCTGTCTGCTCAGGTCAGATCTTGCTTCCAAATTAGTTTACATCAGATCACGTTTTGTTGACAAGTAAATTCCCCCCAATTAATGGATTTCACAGTTTTTAAAATTTCTAGTTGTAGATAAGGGATAGTAGAACAAAAGAAGTTCTATAAATCCCTGAAATGACATTTAGAATTTAGAACCTAGAAAATGCTTATTGTATAAAGATAATAGTGATCACTTTCAAGGAGTATTTCCTAAATGCTAGCTCTTACATGCATTAACAACCCTATAAGCTTCGTTGTGTTATTATCTCTACTTGACAGAGGAGGGAAGAGAGACTAGAAGTAAGCAAACTCTGCCCTAGACCATCACACCACTAAATGAGGAGTGGGGATTCAAATTCAGATGGTCTGGCTCCGGAGTCCACATGTTTGTCTTATGCTGAAATGCTCTGCTGTAAAACAGTAGATCATTAACAAAGGGAGCTAATTTATTTTGAATGTACTCAGCTAGTTGATGACATTTACAAAAATCTGTGATCACTTAATTTGTGTGGTTTAAAACTAACTATGGTGTGTACCTTGGATAAAATAGGTTACCAAGTATCCATGGCATTTCCATATTTATATTTCATCTGGTTTTTCTATCAAATTGTAAACTCCTTTAAAGTTTATGCATTTTTTCTTCGTAAATCTTCTTGGAATATAGTACATTATCATAGATTTTTTTTAAGCAATACATATTATCCTATAATAAAATCACATAAGTCTACCTGAACTTTACTTACTTAGCCTTTTTATTCCCAAGTTTTGAAAAATGCAACTTCTCCCAAGCTCTATTGGTTATATAAAGTTAAAATTGTACCTCCTGCTGATGCAGGGGACACAGGTTCGTGCCCCGGCCCGGGAAGATCCCACATGCCACGGAGTGGCTGGGCCCGTGAGCCATGGCCGCTGAGCCTGCGCATCCGGTGCCTGTTCTCCGCAATGGGAGAGGCCACAGCAGTGAGAGGCCCGCATACCACAAAAAAAACCCACAAAAAAATATGAACATAAAATAAGATTAACTGGACTATTTCTGTTTATTATCCTCAAATTTAAAAGATGACATTGTAGAAAGAAAAATCATGTTATCCCTGTGAGGCTTGCATTTGTTGAATTCCCTTTTGTGCCCTATTTTTTTTCTTTTCCTTTTAATTTTAGTTTTTATTATGGAATAGTTCTAACATACAAAAAAATAGAGAAAATTATCACCACTTTGTCAATCTTATTTTATCTCTTCATCTTTCCTTTTGCATTATTACCCTAAAGAATTTTAAAACAAATCCCATGCAACATATTATTATGTCATTTTACTATAAAAAGAATAGCTTTTATAATCCCCTAAAGCTCTTATAATTTAAAATTTTGAAGAAAAAAATGGAAAAATAGCTCTTATTTTTCTTAAATCTGAAGAAATGACAGAAAATGTGTTTTTATTTTGAGGTGGAGTTTACATGTAACAAAACACACAGGTCTTGAGTTAATTCAATAATTTTTAAAAATTGCATGTATCTATATCACTCAAAATAAGATATAGGACATTTCTATGACTCCAGAAAGTTCTCTGGTGCCCCTTTCTGGTCAATTTTTACCATATCCCCCTAGAAGCAACCACTTCCTGATATCTGTCATCATTGATTAGTTTGGTTTTGAGCTTCATATAAATGGAATCAGATAGTAACTATTCTTTTGTGTGTTGGTGGAAAATCAAATAACAGTCAAGCTAAGAAGAAAGAAAAGAGAATTTTATTTGAGTCAAACTGAGGATTATAACCCAGGGAACAGATTTGCAGAAGCTCTGAGAACTGTTCCATTGGTCAGGAGTTAGAGATGCAATTTTATTTTATTTTATTTTATTTTTGAGATACAATTTTATACATTTCTGAGACAAAGAATTTCTGTGTTATATTGACAGGTTAGCATTCTACATAAAGTTGATCAAAGATGTTTTGGTCAATACAGCTCCCTGTATGGGATGAAAAAGAAATTAAAATAACCTGAAAATTACAACATTGGTGTCTGAATAAAGCAACCATTTTTCTTAAAGGTTGATTACATCCTCCTGTTTGAGGAGGCCTGGTTAATGTACAATACAGGTGCACATTGCACATTGGGAAAGGCCTACCACAAAGCGGGCATATTATTTTTTTCCTTTCTTAGTTTGATTTTCTGGTCATAGAAAAATTTATGATTTTCCCTCATCATTTGCCTTGCTGCTCTCAGTCAGGACAACGATTAGAGATTAGTCGTGTTATTGTGTGTGTTAATAGTTTCTTCCCTTTACTTGCTGAGTAGAATTCTATTATGGGACTGTTCTACAAATTGCTTATTCATTCTGCTATTTACAAACAGCTGGACTGTGTCCCATATGGGCTACCTAGATTCAGCTGCTATGAGCAATTCTGTGCAGGTCTTTTTGTGGACATATGTTTCCATCTTTCTTGGGTAAATACCTAGGAGTGTAATTGTTCTGCCATAGGGCATAATTCTGTATAACATTACTTTTCAAAGAAGTTATTTAAAGTGACTCTCTAATTATACACTCTTACAAGAATGTATGAGAGTTTCAGTTGCTCCACATTTTCGCTAACATTTGAAACTGTCTTTCTAATTGTAACAGTTCTAGCAGATGCAATTTAAGAATGTGTTTAATCTGATTTACAGAGAACATTTTGAAAGGGACTCCATTTTTATTAGAAGTATGTTCAACTTTTTTTCAGAATATGCTTATAGACGTGAAATCGCAGAGGCTGTTGGTCTTCCAAGTATTCCTGTTCATCCAATTGGATACTATGATGCACAGAAGCTCCTAGAGTAAGTTTGTAAGAAACAAACAGATGGCTATTTGGGTAATTCTCTTTACTGGCAATCTTCAACTTTCATGCTTTTATCTCCATTATTTGATACTGAAGTTTTCTGTGCTCAATTTTTACCATACCCCCCTAGAAACAACCACTTTCTGATATCTGTAATCATTGATTAGTTTGGTTTTGAACTTGATATAAATGGAATCAGATAGTGTCTATTCTTTTGTGTGTTGGCAGAAAATCAAATAAGCATACAATTTTATCACCATTTTATAGAACAGTGGTTCTAACCTGGGATTTGCTTTAAATACTGGTATCCAGTGTGTGACAGCCATGAAAGTGAGTCTTTCAGATCATCAACTGTGGGGAGTGTCATTGATAAGGTGCTCCACTGTGTTTTGAAATCCATCACCCTGTTTGTATCAAGGCCATGTTTCCCATAGATGCTCCCAGTCAGTAACTAAATGCAGCAAGGGTACTAAATGAGGCCCATTACTGGGAGGCATGGGACTCCTCTTTTGGGAGACTCTGGCTCAGGACTCCCTGACAGCCTTGCTATCAAGGGATTCTGCCACCAGCACTCTTCTTTCTTCGTTTTCTCTTTTACCCCATTTCTGACCTGCATTGCAGTCTGATGGCTTTCTCAGCCTCTCTTAGCTCCCTTGCTATTTCCTTCACACATCTTTCCTGTAATAAATCTCTTACTTATTGAAACCTCTTATTGTCTACTTCTTGGTGGACCTGGAATAATGCCCTTTGAAAGCATCTTCCATTGATTTTCATCTTTATCCATTCCACTTCTTCCTCGGCTTTCACTATTGAAGGTTCTCCAAAGTTGTTATTGTTTAACCTGACATTGGAGCTCTTTCCTCTTTCCTGTCCTGCTTTCCCCCATCTGCATGTCCCTTCGTCTCCATTATCCTTGAGGAGGGGAGAGAGCACTGACTTCTCTGAAAGTAGAATCACTGGAGACCAAAGCGTCCGGCCAGTTAGTCCCTTTTCTTCTTTGAGTTTAAGGCATTCTTAATCATTTTATTCTAGAATGTATAAGAAAACTTATTTATGACCTAGTTCAGTGCCCTCATTTTTACAGGTGAGGAGGCTGTCATCAGAGAATTGGAGGTGTCTGTCCAATTTAAGGGCAGATTAAGGAATAGCAAGCACCCTGGTCTTTTTTTCTTTTGAGCTCTTAGCTTTACCACATGGGTTAAGATTCAGGATGGGGCACAACTTTTGAGGGCACCACGGACTATGTGTTTGTGTAAATATAAAGTCTAAATATTCATTATATTTAAAAGATGAACGTGATTGTAGCTTTACCTGTGATAGTGGAAAATTGTAAACAATACAAATCTTCAATAATTGATAAGTAGTTAAATATATTACTGTCTATGACAGTACATGAAGCCATTAAAATATATGTTGTACAAGAGTATTTAACAATGTGGGTACATGCTTATGCTATACTATTAAATAGAAAAAGTAGATTTCAAATATATATATATATATATATATATAAAATAATCTCTAAATTATAAGTTTTAAAAAGTGAACCTGTATTATCTTTGTAGTTAGAAAAAGAGTGCATGGAAGGAAAGAAGGAAGGATTATACAGAATTGGACGTGAGGTTTATTTAACCATGTCTACCATTTGACTGCTCTGGTAAACTAGTTGAATTTGGCTATGCCCTAACTGGGTAGTAGAATTATTAATACTTGATCAAAAAAATTACCAAATGTAAGTCAGCTTTAGTAAGTCATTTTGTAAATGCAATCATCATTAAATAACATAAATTCTATGGAAGTATATTTTGCATTCAAAACACCATGATTAAAAATGAATTTTGGTAGTACAGAAATGTATTAAAAATGTATTTGGAAGGAGAAGATGATCTGTGTATACTAAAAGCAATAAGATAATTTCTGTTTTACCATCCATACCTTCTAAGGTATAGTGAAATGTTCTAGACTGGAATTTAGTCATAAAACATTTTAAGAACATGTAATTTGTTTATGAATTTAATTGGGAGTATTTACTCCCTCTGCATAATTATCTAGGGAGTGTGCTACGTATCCATTATAGTCAGTTCTCATATTCCCACAAATGGTTAGCAGTGTAACATTATGTATTAATTAGACTAGACAGTATTTTACAAATTGGATATATCATAAAATGAAAGTTTCTTAACAAGTATTTGAGAAGAAGAGGAGAGACATAAAGTTATATAATGGCCCAGGCATGCCGAGAACTTTAATAAAAAGTTGATGAAATGTGAATTATAGAAAAAAGAAAATTGTGTTTACCTAGGTGGGAGAAAAGGGGAACAGGGTGTATGTTCTTTCTTATTCTTTTTTGCATCTGTACTGAAGGGAATGTGGTTACATGGTTTCTTTTTGTCTCTCTGAGTAACTATCAGGATTATAATGACAACAACGACAATAATAATAAAGACAATGATAATAACATCTAACATGCATAGAGTGCTAATTATATTTTAGCACTTACTTTTTGCTAAATGATTACATACTGTTTATCAATTAGCCCATAAAACAACTACATGAGTTAGTATTGTGATAACTAATTTTACAAATAAAGAAATCAAATTTCAGAGAGTATGTGATAGATCTGGGACCCAAATTCATGTCTGATGTAAAAGACAGCTTTGTTGAGCATCACTTATTCTCTATTCAACAGCACAAGCATTTAGGAGGCATCTCTTTGTCAAGGCACTGTCTCATTCTTGTGTCTCTGCTCAGAAGACCTTTAATGGCTTCCTACAGCCTGTCCACTCGAGGTACACTTATGGAATGGCCTCTTTTTGTCAAGCACTGTCATAAAAGTATGACTTATATATAGACTTTTTCTCAGGGCCTTCAAAATATAGTATAGAAGCTCACAGCTACATAGAGGCTACATGACAAACCACGAAATTCTAGCACATCATTTTCTGCCCATCTAGCTTGGTCCTAATTTTTAAGAATTAAACTCATTATTTTGAGATAATTGTGATTCACATGCAACTGTAAGTAGTACTAAAGAGTCCCTCTAGGCCATTTATCCAGCATTCCCCAATGGTAACATCTTGCAAAGTATAGTACAATATCACAACCAAGATACTGATATATTTCTTTTTATACTCATGACACAAAACATTTCCATCATCACCAGGATCCCTCATGTGGCCCTTTTAGCCACACCCACTCCTTTCCTGTCCCCCTCCATCCATACCCTCTGACCTTAACTCCTAGCAACTACTAATCTGTTCACCATTTCTATAATTTCATCATCTCAAGAATGTTATATAAATGTATATCCTCGTGGGATTTTTCTTCACTCAGCATAATTCTCTGGAGATTTGTTCAGGTTGTTGTATATATAGTTATTTTTCTTTTTAATACTGAGGAGCATTCCATTGTATTTGGCATCACAGTTTGTTTCACCATTCAAAGAACAACTAGTTTGTAGCTATTATGAATAAAGCTGCTACAGATAATCATGTACAGATTTGTGTGTCAACGTAAGTTTTCATTTCTCTGGAGTGCAATTGCCGGGTCATATGATAATAGCATGTTTACTTTTTTAAGAATCTGACAAACCTTTTCCATAGTGGTTGTATCCTTTTACATCCTACCAGCAATATAAAAAAAATACAGTTCTCCCAATCCTTTTATAAGCACTTGTATTCTGACGTCACAAAATATTTCAGGTTTGTCTTGTATTTTCTTTCAATATTTCTAGTTTTCTGATAATTTTCATCATGAATGGATGTTGAATTTTCCCCAGTCTTTTATTGTTGCTGTGGTTGTTTGTTTTCTGCATCAATTTTTCTGATCATGTGGTTTTTCTTTAGCCTGTTAATGTGGTATATTACACTTTTTGATTTTTGTATGTGGTATCAGTCTTGCATTCATGGAATAAATCTCACTCGGTCATGGTGTATAAGCCTTTCAAAATGCTGTTGAATTTGGTTTTCTAGTATTTTATTAATGATTTTTGTGTCAATATTCATATTTATCTTTAGTTTCCCTGTGATTTCTTTATCTGATTTTGGTGTCATGGTAATGTTTGTCGCATAGGGTAACTTTAGAAATGTTCCTTCTGTTTTTCTAAAGAGCATGTGAAGGATTGGTGTTTATTCTTTACTGATTGCTAGCATTCAGCAGTGAAGCCATATGGGCTTCTCTTTCAGAGAAGTTTTTTTTGTTTTGTTTTGTTTTTTTGTGGTAGGCGGGCCTCTCACTGTTGTGGCCTCTCCCGTTGTGGAGCACAGGCTCCGGACGCGCAGGCTCAGCAGCCATGGCTCACTGCTGAATGGCTCACTACCTGTGGGATCTTCCCGGACTGGGGCACGAACCCGTGTCCCCTGCATCGGCAGGCAGACTCTCAACCACTGCGCCACCAGGGAAACCCTCTGAGAAGTTTTGATTACTTGTTATAGCCTACTTACATTTTCTCTTTCTTCAGTTTTGGTAGTTTATATCTTTCCAGGAATTCATTTCATTGAGGTTAATTTGTTGGTATATAACTGTTTATAGTGTTCCCTTATAATCCTTTTTATTTCTGTAAAGTCAATAGTAGTATCCCTCTTTTGTTCCTGATTTTCAGTCTTCTCCCCTTTTTTTCTTGGTCAGTCTAGCTAATGATTTGTCAATTTTGTTGATCTTTTCAAAGAACCAACTTTTGCTTTCATTCATTTTTCTTTATCTTTTTTTCTAGATTCTATTTTGTTATTTTTGCTCCAGTCTTTATTATTGCCTTTCTTATGCTTATATGAATTTAGCTTTCTTTTCATTGTTGAGTTTCTTTGGGTGGAAGATTAGTTTATTGATTTGATAGCTTTCTACTTTTTTAATATAGGTGTTTACAGCTATATATTTCCTTCTAAACACTGTTTTAACTGCATCTCATAACTTTTGGTGTCTTATGTCTTCATATTTATTCATCTCAAAGTTTTTTTGTGTGTGTGTGGTACACGGGCCTCTCACTGTGTGGCCTCTCCCGTTGCG